GTGATTGGACACAGCAGCTGAGGATTAACCAAATTATGTCCCTTTGAGTTTAGATCGACAAACCTTTCTCACTCGGATTTTAAAACAAGCCACCTTATGCAGAATATAGAAAGAAGTGTTGCCTTCTTAACACAGGGCTGTGCCAGCATGAGTCCTGAGTTTCATGGTCAGGTATACATCTGGTGCCTACTTCCGCCCAGAATCATGTTATTATTACTAAGATTATATGGACAAAGGGAAGAGAGCTCTTATTTGTGGACTCCTTCTATGTGCCATGCACCACTGAGTTTTACATGCTTATAACCTGTGAGAGGGGCATTATTATCTCCATTATTCTGGTAAGGGAATGGGCATCAGAGGTATAGTAACCCGTCTGGGATCACAGACAGTAAATGATAGAGCTTTGATTTGAACCCAGATCTTTCTGTGCTTGTTATAAAATGTGCTGTCTTCCCAATTTAAGTGTCTCAATTCACATTTCTCTTGACTTCCCCACAGCCCAACCACAGGGTCAGGGACATAGTAAAAATAATAACCAATGTTTGTTGACCACTTATTATATGTCAGATGGTGTTCTAAGCACTTTACATGCATTAACACAGCCATGTGAGCCAGATGCTCTTTTTATCCATGATAATTATGAGATTGCAAAATGATGATGTTCTAATTTCATTGTTCCTTCTACATTTATTAGTTGTCATTCTACAGTAAGGAAGAGCTTTCCTTTCATCCCATTAACTTACTTATTTTCAGTATGGAATTATGGAATCTTTTTTTACTCAATTGGTTATGATCCATTACTGTGATTACTCATGTTGATGCTCAGATTGTCCCAGATTTTAAAGCCAATGTTCTTAATCTCTATGTCATGCTACCTCTCTAGCAGATATTTTTTCTCACTGCCTTCTGTGTTGGTTTGCCTATCTATAACAGCCTTTTTGTACCCTCTTGGCTTTTCATCTTCTGGGAAACAGAAAGACCAATGCCAGTTTTATCCCAACTATGTGTAAACTAAGAGCAGATATGTCTCCAAGTGAGAACCTGACAGACTCTGCTGTGAATTCAATATCTGAGTTTTAGACATGAATTTTAGCTGCTTAGAGATCCTTCTCATTTCTCCGTAGGATTGTAATCGATATATTGGATAGATTGCCTATGAAAGGTAATTCTTAAGATCCTTTTAGGTAAGGTGAATAGACACCTGAGACTCAACCTGACCATGTTAGATCACTTGTAGGAGAACCTCAGCTACGTGGGAGATGGATTCTGGTTCTTTGACTCACCTGTGAGGACTGTGTGTCTGTGTACATAGGAGTTATTAAAATTCATCCATCCATTCAGCAAATAATTGAGCCAGGTTCTATGCCTATTTGAAGGTAATGAAATTCAAGCCAGTTGGTACAGGGAAGACCATCAACACTGCTGATTACAGATACTGAAAAACTAACAAGAGAAAAACTAAAACTATAGTTTGACTTTTTAATAGTTTTGATAGAGTAATTTTTTGAAATGCTTACCATTACGCCTTCAAAAGCATTAACAGTTCTCAAGGCCAGTAAGCAAAAGATTAACATACTAAGAGAAAAATGGTCAAAGGACATTATGAAAATACAGTCAACTATTGTGATTCATGAAAAAAACACAACTAACTGCTAAACATTTATTTCTTAAGTCCGGCCTCATTAGTAATCCAAGAAATCCAAGTATAGAGATGGCAGTGTGATTTCATTTTTGCTTACCAGACTGACACAGGATAAAGAAAAATAAACACCCTATTTTGTGAAAGGAAGGCACAAAAGTTACTCTCATCCTTCTTCCTTTGCTAGTAAAAAAAAAAAAATTTGTACAATCTTCCTAAAATTCAGTTTGATAACATTTATCAAAACCCTTAAAAAGGCTTACACTTTTGGGGCACCTGGGTAGCTCAGTTGGTTAAGCATCTGCCTTCGGCTCAGATCATGATCTCAGCACCTAGCTCCCTGCTCAGTGAGCAGTCTGCTTCTCCCTTTCCCTCTGTTCCTCCCCGCTGCTCGTTCTCTCTCTCTTTCAAATAAATAAATCTTAAAAAAAAAAAAAAAGGCTTACACTTTTGACCTAGAACTTAATGTCCTAGGAATTTGCCCAAAGGAAATAATCAGATATGTGTTATTGAAATATTAAAAATAATCTAATGTTTTACAATAGGAAATTGTTTGAATAAAGTATACTATAGTAGAACACTGTGCAGCTATTAAAAACAATGTGATAGACAAACACTTAAAACATGGAAATTTTGGGGGGCGCCTGGGTGGCTCAGTCGGTTAAGGGTCTGCCTTCGGCTCAGGTCGTGATCCCAGAGTCCTGGGATCGAGCCCCACCTTGGGTCCCCTGCTCAGCAGGAAGCCTGCTTCTCCCTCTGCTCCTCACCTCACTCTCTCTCGCTCTCTCGCACTTTCTCAAATAAATAAATAAAATCTTTTAAAAAAACCATGGAAATGTTGGGGCTCCTGGATGGCTCAGTCAGTTAAGCATCCGACTCTTGGTTTTGGCTCAGGTCATGATCTCAGGGTCGTGAGATCCAGCTCTGCATTGCGCTTAGCGTGGAGTCTGCTTGAGATTCCCTCACTTTCCCTCTCCCTCACCCTTTGCCCCTGTCCCCACTTGCATATTTGCATTCGTGTGCTCTCTCTCTCCCATAAATAAAATCTTTATAAAAAAAGTATGTGTTTGTATGTGTTTAGAGAGAATTTATATATGATCTTATTTTTGTAAATAAAAATATACATACATTGAAAAAATGGAAAGGTGTATATATTCTAAAAACATTTTCTTCTTTTTAACTATTTATAGTTTCTGAATTTTTTATAGTGAGCAGAGTCTTTTTTGTTTTTGGTTTTTTCCCCTTAAGGAAAAAAGAAAGCATTAACAGGAATATGCTGTAATAGAAGGGAAGTGGACTTCTATATGGAACACTTCCTGGGTCAAGCACACTAGGTTCGGTGCTTTATAAATTTACCTAATTTAACCTTATAACAAGTCTGTAGAGGCTCCTGCCTCTGGTCCTACTCCCTCCGATCCATTCTCACACAGCCTCTGGAGTGATTCTTCAAATAGCAAAGGTTTGGAAGGAAATACACCAAACTATAAATAGTGGTTACTCTTGGCATTTAGATTGAGGAGATGGATGTAAGGGAAGACTCATTTTTTAATTTAATATTTCAATATGGTGTGCATTTTTCTAAGGCGGTATATTTTTAAGTGGGGAAGAAAAGCGTATGTTGTCAAGTCACTTCCCCTTAAGCCCTTCAGTGGCCTACCTCCCTCCCACAGCTCTCTTCCCCTTACACTGTCTGCTCCAGTGCTACTGTCTGCAGGTAAAGCCCTGTGCTCTTTTGCCTCCAGGATTTGTGACCACATTGAGGCCTCCCACGTCACCTTCCAGGGTCTGGCTATGCAGCCTTCCAAGTCTTCAGTTCCTTAAATACCACATCCTCTGGGAGTTCTTTCCTCTGTAAATTTTTTTTTTATTATGTTAATCACCATACATTACATCATTAGTTTTTGATGTAGTGTTCCATGATTCATTGTTTGTGCATAACACCCAGTGCTCCATGCAGAACGTGCCCTCTTTAATACCCATCACCAGGCTAACCCATTCTCCCGCCCCTCTCCCCTCTAGAACCCTCAGTTTGTTTTTCAGAGTCCATAGTCTCCCATGGTTCGTCTCCCCCTCCGATTTCTCCCCCTTCATTCTTCCCCTCCTGCTATCTTCTTCTTTTTTTTTTTTTTAACATACAATGTATTATTTGCTTCAGAGGTACAGATCTGTGATTCAACAGTCTTGCACACTTCACAGCGCTCACCATAGCACATACCCTCCCCAATGTCTGTCACCCAGGCACCCCATCCCTCCCAACCCCCACCACTCCAGCAACCCTCAGTTTGTTTCCTGAGATTAAGAATTCCTCATATCAGTGAGGTCATATGATACATGTCTTTCTCTGATTGACTTATTTCGCTCAGCATAATATCCTCCAGTTCCATCCATGTCGTTGCAAATGGCAAGATTTCATTCTTTTTGATGGCTGCATAATATTCCATTTGTGTGTATGTGTGTGTGTGTACACACACACACACACACACACACATATATATATACCACATCTTTTTTATCCATTCATCTGTCGATGGACATCTTGGCTCTTTCCACAGATTGCTGCTATAAACATCGGGGTGCACGTACTCTTTCGGATCCCTACATTTGTATCTTTGGGGTAAATACCCAGTAGTGCAATTGCTGGATCATATGGTAGCTCTATTTTCAACTTTTTGAAGAACCTCCATACTGTTTTCCTGGGAGGCCTTTCCTGATCCCTTTGGTTTCCCACTGTACATGGTACTACTATTACTTCTTTTTTTTTTTAAGGTTTATTTACTTATTTGACAGAGCGTGAGCACATAAGCAGGGGGAGCATCAGGCAGAAGGAGAGGGAGAAGCAGGCTCTCCGCTGAGCAGAGAGCCCGATGCAGGGCTCGCGGGGCTTGATCCCAGGACCCTGGGATCATGACCTGAGCCGAAGGCAGATGCTTAACCAACTGAGCCACCGAGGCGCCCTGGTACTTCCTCCATCATAGCCTTTACCACACATTGCTATAATTTCATGCTGAATTCTTGATATTCCCAGAAGATCATAAACTCCATGAGGGTGCAGACCCTAGCACCTACAACAGTGACTACAACACAGTAAGCATTTGGTAAGTGATTGTTGAATAAATACTTTGTATTTTGTAGTTGTGGAAACCTAGCCTTAGAACGGTGTTAAATAACTTGACCAGAGCCACTCGGCTAGTCAGTTTCAGAGCTTTCCTTGTCTTTTACACTGGCGGAGTTTCCGTTCTTTCCCCTGTACCACTCACATGAGCAGAAGCAGCTCCAATCCCCAAACATGCTTCAGAATCTGAGTCTCTACTTCCTAGGCCTTTCCAGCTTTTGACACTTCTGTCTTTCTGATTTCTTCCAGTGTGGTGCAGATCCTGCTTGCTGCTGGTGCTGACCCAAACCTTGGGGATGATTTCAGTAGTGTTTATAAGACTGCCAAGGAGCAGGGAATCCATTCTTTGGAAGGTAAGCACAGACCACCCTGTTGTTGTGAGCGCTCTCCTACCTTTGGCTTCTAGGCAGCCTTGCTCTGTGTCAGCTCTACCAGCAACTCAGAGTGAGAGCCTGCAAGTCCCTCATCCTCTGGGAACGCATGGATAACCCAGAAAGCTTGGAACAGACACCCTTCACAGTCCCTTCTGGCTCTATCATTTATGTCCCTTCAGAAGTCTTGGGGAATAAGATAGAGGCCTGACTTGATGACCAGAGCAGGGAGTGGGGGATACCTTTCACCTGGTGTTCTCCTGACAGCACCTCAGCCCATAGAGCCTCAGGTGAGTGGATAATGGAGCAGGTTTCCATAAAATAATTAAGGCAACTGCATGGAATGTGGCTTTGTTCCTCTTCTACTTCCTGCAGACTTAACCTATGCCATCCCTGTCCCAGAACTAGAAAGCAGCCTCACTGGGTTCCTCTGCCTCAGAAGTCCCTCAGTACTACTCTGAATACTGCTTTTTTTCCCCTTCTATATGCAAAATGCAATCCTATCTCTGGGACTGGCCCTCAATTTACCATTATGACCCAGGACAAATAGTGGACCTTCTCTGTGCCTTGATGTCTATGCTTATAAAATGGGGTGGTCATCCGTGCCTCCTGAGGATGTTAATGTGGGTTGTTTGGACTTCAGAAGAAAGAGGTGGTGTGCACCTGTATCCGGGTTCAGTCACATGTCTGTCAGAGGGTACTCAGGCAAGTCAGTCTTTGCTACTTCTAGTGAGTGGTTCTTCAAAAGTGAGGTATAGAAGAGGATAGGTTGCTTTGGCTACAAACAGCAATGAATATTTCTTTTACTTTTGAGCTTTTGCTTGTTCACACTGGCCCCCCTGCCTGTCCGTTATCCTGTGTCTCCCAGAGGCTGTGATAACCAGCCCTGTGTCTGGCAATAGGGCAGCTGAGCAGAACTGCTCTTGGGTTGGCAGTGATGCCAGGAGGACAGACAGCCATGCCGACTGCCTGAGGGTCAGAACATTGACTGAAAGGAGGTCCAGTGAGGCGAGCAGTGCACTTGGTCCTCAGAGCTGTCAGGGAGGCTGCCGGACTGACGTAGCTGTGGTAGCCCACAGCAGAGGTGTGCTTGCTGCCCCGGCGAGGTTTCTCAGGTCAGCAGCGTAAGAGCAATGTCAAGAGCAGCAGAGCATTGCTGCCCAGGGGAAGTGTGGAGTTGCCTTCCCCCTGCCTGTCTACCTCTCTAAACCCACTCCTTCTGTCAAACTCCACTTCTGTGGCTGGATTCTCCACGAAGCCTTCCCTGTCCTTGGCAATAATTGCAACCTGCCCCCAGCTGCTCTTTTGAATGTTCTCTAAATCTTGGCCTTTTACATGGTTATTTGAACTCTCATCTGCCCATATGTCTTTCCTCTCCTGCTCAGCTGACAGTTCTGTGTGCAGGCCATGACCTATGCCTCCTTGGATTCCCCACTGAGTTGGAGGAATCATGTTCACTTTATGTTTCAGAGGAGAATTTCATGAGTACCAAACTTGCCCTATATTTGCAGCCTGTTATGTGGAGACTCATCGTGTGGGTTGTCTTCTCACTCAGACACAGCATTACTGTCCTCAGCTCGGTCTTCTGTCCAGGCGCTCTCACCAAAAAGCAAAGAGGAGCGTTTGCTGAGGGGGCAGAGCCAGGTGGAAGGGAAGGGATTATTTGAGTGCCTTATCACCTGCCCTCAGGATCCTAGCACGGCTCAGTCATTATTTTTGATTTCACCGAATCGCAGAGCTGTGAAGCCGTGTAGGCCAACCTTTGCTGTCACACCAGTCCCTTCCCTCTGCATTTAAGTTTTATATCTTTGTTCTCTCCAGATTGATGCTCATATTCAACATTCTAGATCAGTAGTCAGGAAAAGAACGAGAGTGCTAGCCCTTTGCCAAGAGTATGTCTAGGCAAATTCAAAGAAAAGTCACAGGCTTAATTGGACAGTCCTTCACTATTGGAGCAGAGTCCGTGCCAGGTCCATCAAATTTACTAAATTTCTAATAGATATTTCTGTGGGCCTTATACTGTGCTCAGTACTGAAAGGAGGTGGTGAGTTGTCGTTTGTGACCTTGGCAGGACCTCCCTAAACCCCAGTAATATATCCCTTTTCTACCTTATTGGTATTGTGAACATCAAGAGATAAGTATATGATGTGTGAATTGTAAAGTGCTCTACAGTTGTAATTGCTCATTAGTTTTATTTTTTTATAATTCAACATGCATTTACTGAGTGTCAGGCACTCTGCCAGATGCTGGGAATGTAGAAATGAATATACATAGTCTAGGCCCTCAACAGTGTTCCCAGTCAAGTGAGAAGACAGACCTACGAACAAGGTACCACAGTACAGAGTGATAATGCAAAGGTATATGTACAAAGAATGGAGATAGCACTGACATAGGCAGTGATAAGCTCTACCTGAGGGCAGGCTGCTGTCTGGGAAGTGTCATAGTGTAAGTGACTTTGAATTGGGTCTTAAGGATGAGTGGGAGATGGCCAGGCAGACTAAGAGGGATGGATCTTCTGGGTAGAAGGAACAACACATGCAGAGACATGGGGTGGGTGGGTGACAGCAAGTGGACTCATCTGCCACAGTGCTGAGGAGAATAACAAGAAGTGAGACTAGAGAGGGAAGCAGGGTTCCGCATGATAAGGACATTGTAGGACAGTTTTGGGTGCTCACACTGTTTTTGAAGGTCATTGAAGGATTTTAAGCAAGGGGTGTCAGTTTACATTTGCATTTTAGATGGATCATTCTAATGGGGTGAGGGATAAAATTGAAGGGGAGAGATTAGCACTGGCTCTTGACCTTTAGGGGATGATGGTCCCCTTTGAGAATTGGATGGGAAGCTATGCTCCTCTCCCCCAAAATGCACTTATAATTTCTGGGGATTCCTAAAAGTGATCTTTGGAAATGGAGAAAGTAGATGTTAAAAATACTAAGAGGTTGAGTTCTTAGCAGAATATGGGAATTGATGGGAAAGGAGGCATTTCATGGTGACATCCCCGATTTCTGATTTGGTTTAACAGTTGGATGTGTGGGTCTGGAGTTCAAAAGAGAAGTCCGGCAGGAGATAGGGATTTAGGAGTCACCAGCTGGGGCACCTGGGTGGCTCAGTTGGTTAAGCGTCTGCCTTCGGCTCAGGTCATGATCCCAGGGTCCTTGGATTGAGCCCCGCATCGGGCTCCCTGCTGAGCGGGAAGCCTGCTTCTCCCTCTCCCACTTCCCCCGCTTGTGTTCCCTCTCTCTCTGTGTCTCTCTCTGTCAAAAAAAAAAAAAAAAAATGGTTAAAAAAAAAAAAAAAAAGAGGATCCAAACAAAGGTACCAAAGGTATCGGAGAAGTTGCCTTGTTTTCTCTCAAAGAGGCTCTATCTGTTCTACCTGCTCAGAACAGGCATGGTCTAGAAAGGAAAGAAACTTCTGTGACCTCCTTTCTGATACTTTATCATCGGTTGCCCCATTCCTAGCAAAACCCTTCTGATTTACATATGGCCATTGCTCCTTAGCAAGAAGCCTGCTCAGCTGAGCACATTACAGTATTCCCCACCCTTGTCAGGGTTGGTGTTTCTGGGCAGAGGGCAGGTCAGCTGGTGCAAATGACACAGGAATGCCTGGCATAGAAACTGTGTTGGCCTGACTGTTCTGTCCATCCTTTTCAGCCCCCAAGAGTGGCATCTTGAGAGGTATAATGGTGTCCTGGAGAAAGGTCAGATGTCAGTGCTAGCAGTTATCTAAGCTCTGTTTGTCTAAGTTTTGTAACTTACTAGCTGTGTGATCTTGAGCAAGTGATTTAAGGTTCTAGAATTTCCGTTTTCTCCTCTGTAACATAGGGATAACAATACCCATCATACAGGGTTGTTAGGATGACTAGAGATAAGTAAAGCATCATGTGAAGGATGATATTTGAGGAAGAACATCTCTATTGAGGTGGATTTTGAGTCCGTGTAAAGTTGCCTTGGAGGTACTGAGCAACTCATCACTCAAGGAGCATTGACAGAGGCTGGATGTCTGCCTGTCAGGGATTCTGTACAGGGGATTCTTGTCCTGGGTCATTGGATAATATGGCTTCCAAGGCCCCTGTCAGCCATGTGATTTCTAAGGTCTAGAAGCCCTAGGCTCATCATCAGAGCAAGTGATGTACTTATAAGTGGGATTTGAGCTGAGTTTTGGAGGGCAGAAAGAAAGTGAGAAAAGAAAAGCTATTCTAAGCAGGGGCACAGCTTGAGCAAAGGCACATAGAAGGGACACATGTGGAGAGGGTAGCGTGGAGATCACTGCTGCTTCTCTACCAAGTCACTCCCTGATCTTGACCACATTCCATTCAGTGACTTGATCCCCATCCATGCCCACCCCAGGAGAGTTCCACTTGTGGCTGGCGGATGGGTGGTGGGTCCCAATCCTCAGGTGGAGGAGTCAATAAATTAATGGTAACAGTAAACAAGTTGCCCAGCCAGGGATGCCGCAGGCTGCTTGTAAGTAACTGTTATAAACATTGGGTGTCTGGGGCTGTCAGAAACGCAAGCGAGCTCTCTGAGTGCCTCTCATATGTACAATTAAAACAATAAAACACGGCAGAAACATGGTGAAAACAGGATATAAATCAGCTTCTCTTCTCAGCTCCAAGTGGTGGCTGAATAAAGATGAGTCGTGTAGAAGCTGGGTTGGCATTGGACCCTTCTGGGGCTAGAGGGCCTGACTTTCCAGGCTGTACCCCCCAAGGCCAACCCCAACAGTCTGGGCAGTCCCCTTCCCACAGCTCCAGGGGCTGCGGGTCCTGGCCTGCTCCAGCTGACCTCCCCATCTCTGTGTCTTCAGATGGGGGACAGGACGGTACAAGCTGGTGCATCACAAACCAGTGGACAAGTGCCCTGGAGTTCAGGAGATGGCTAGGAGTTCCCACTGGCGGTAATGGAATGGCTCTCTATATTTCTCCCCTTCCCCAGGACATGCCAGGGAGTCGTCTCATCCTGGTTCATCTATTCAGTATAAGTTAACTTCTCAGCACCCACCGTGTGCCCAGCCCTACCTAGGGACAGCAGAGAGAATGTATGCCCTTGGAGAGCATAAATTTAGATGGGGAAGTAATTATGCTCCCAAGGACATAGGAATCACCTAAAGAGCTTATTGAAACACGGATTCCTGGGCCCCACCCCCAGAGATTCTGATTCAGTGGCTCTGGAGTGGGAACTAAGATTTTGCATTTCTCACAGCTCTCCAGTCTTTGAGTAGCATGATCTAGACTACAGATGTTAGTTCTGGCCATGGGCTTGAACTGCTTTTAAAAACTCATCTGGGCCTTCTCCCTGGAAGAGACCTTATTTTGCCACTTTAAGCTTCACTCCTAGCGCGGTTATGTGCTTAGGCCACGGTATTAGAGGTGGTACAGAACACATAATAGCTATGTACCTGCAGCAATTCTCTGCACCTCTCAGAGGCTCTGTCTCCGTACTTATAAAGGTTATCAGTTTGTTTCCCGGAGCTAACTGAACAGAATAATAAAATAAATAAATACAATAAAGGTTATCAAAAGAGCTAGAGATAGCATATTTGTCCCTAACCTAAACCTAGAATATAGAAGGAATTCCACTAATGTAAATTTCTGTCTTTCTATCATCATCATCATCCTCAGCAGACTCTTGTGGAACTTTATTCAGACTCTTTGACATGGCCTTCCAAATGCTTTTCAGTGGTAGCAAACTGTTGTCTGTAGACAGCCAAACATTATTTAGAGTCTGAGGAGTGGCTTAGCCATCACCAAACTGTGTGACTTTGGGCATTTCTCTCTCTTTCTCTGAGACTTGATTTTTGCATCTGTAGGGAAGAATATTTCCTACACCATTGGCTTATTATAAAGATCAAATTGAAGTACTTATGAAAGCACTTGAGAAAATACAAGGTGTATTGCAAATGTGTAAGGTACTAGCAAGAAAAGTAATTAATAATAATAATAAAGATTGAAGACTTGACCAAGACAGTATTTGACAAGCATTCAGTCAGAGGTACAGATAACAAGGACTACCAGAGCTCAGAGAAGAGAATCTCTGGTTGAAGCAGTCAAGGAAATAAAATGGTATCTGAGCCCCAAAGTATAAGAAAGTTTTATGGAGGGCCTGTAGGTGGGTGCAGTTGGGTATGAAGGGGTATGTTATATCCCAAACACCGGGAAACAGAAAAATGTGTGTCGGGCTGTTAAGTGAACTTGTTCAGGTGAAGCATCTATACAGCAGATTTATCTTGAAGAGTAATGAACAAAAGATTCAGCATTAGTGCACTGGGGCCAGATCAAGATGCTTGGACTTTGTCCTTTAGACAGAGAGGGGCTCTGAAGGTTCTAGAGGAGAGGGCGCCACAGGAACGGATCCCTTCCAGGGTGGAGAAGTAGGGGAGGTGGTAATAGGATGGCGATGCTAAGACCACTGTAGCAGCAGGTAACATGGACTGATATGGTGTGCCACAGGAACCCTGTGATATAGGCACTAAAGGAAACTGAGGCAGGGAGATGCAGCCAAATGCCAGCAGAACTGTCTCCTGCTCATACACAGAACCCAACAACCATAGCAGCCTGTATGTGCCTCACACTTAGCCCAGAACCTCTGCTTGTCCAGAGTCTTGGAAGGCTTGGCAATCTGCCGGGCCAAAAGCTGTTGGGGCAAGTTATTATTTTTAATAATGTCCCTGCCTCTTTCTCGTCATTGTCACAGCCTTGTCGCACCTCCAGGGCCAGTGGTTCTACATCTCATTTCTCAGCAGTGCCAGCTGCTAGAGTCCCCAGGATGGACAGTGCACTGTCAATCCATCACGCTTGTGTTAGCCAGCTTCAAGGTGAAGTGTATCAGCCAGTTAGGCTAATTGTTTCCCTCCTTTTAGCCCTCTAAAACATATATATATATATTTATACACACATACATATATATGTATATATATATGTTTGACTAGGAGAGGGAGATAGACTAGACATGTTTTATTAAAAAGAATAAATTTGATACATTTATAAAAATAAGGAAAAGTGGGATGGGGTGGCAAAGAACTAGTCCTGTGATTTTTAACTGATTTACATATTTTGTGTATAAATATTTTTTCATCAAAAGTTCCAAATCAGGGATGGGTCCCACACACCACACAAAATATATTAGAGACATTTATATGGATAGCAGGAAGGGAGACAGAGGGCTGAAATTTTCCAGGCACCCAGTGATTGATGGGGGCTGAGGCTCCCCCTGACGCTTTATTGAGTTTCCGATGATTATCTCTCGCTGAGACATTTTTTACAGATGACGGTCGAGCTGTCACAATGGACCATGGGGGAAAAAAAAACAACAATAATAACACTTTAATCTTTTTACTGCACTGCTCCCTAGTATCTCAGATTCATCTTCCCTGACGCACGCAGTTCATTATTCTGCCCCTCCCTGGATGGGAAATAAAGGAAAATAAATATATATGTAGACACACTTACCCACATACATACACACACGGACTGGATATAAAAGAGACCACCTCAAAACCAGAGAGAGGCAGAATTTATTGTTCTTTTTGCAAGTGTTGAGGTTTATTAGTAGAGATGCTGGGTTGGCTTGGAATTGGCTATTAATTACAGCATTTTGTATTTGTTTTTTATTGTGAGTTTTTAACATTTTGAAGAAAAGGCAGAGGAGAGGCAAGCAGGTATAAAGATGGGGAGCACAGAGGGACTGAGTTTGGCCAACCAAGTAGCATAACTGACTGAAAGGCAGAGAGGGCAGCCTCCTCCTCTTGTTGCCAGGCCTACCTGGAGGATCTCTGGAGCTGAAAGATGGGATGCTTTGGTTGGGATGGGGGCAAAGCAGGGGCAGTGGGGAGAAGTTAAGCTCAGAGTAATGATAGGCCACCTCAGAGGGACTCTAAATAGCTGTGACATGTTACTGCTGTGAGACTTAGAAGAGATGGGAAGAAGGGGAGGGTCAAACAGAGTGTTGATGGGCCTACAGACAGCAGAGTAATGCATTCTTAAGAGTTTGTCCCACTCTTTGAATCTGATAGTGAAAGGTGACACGTGGGCTGTGGGAAAGCTCCACCTGGGTCTGTGGTCAGTGAAGGTGTCCCAGGGGCACCTGGCTGTCTCAGTCGGTGGAGTGTGCAACTCTTGATCTCAGGGTTGTAAGTTCAAGCCCCACTTTGGGTGTAGAGAGTACCTAAAATAAAATATTTTTTTAAAAGGCGGAGGTGGGGGGGTTCCTGGGCCAGAGAGGATGCCACACTGTCTAGCATCACAGGCAGGATCAACAACCTATCATCTTAAAGCTCCAACCTTTCTGCTCTCCCCCTTCCCTTTCATGGGGATGAGAGAAGATGAATTTGGGGTCCTTAGGGGAAGGCTGCCCTTAATGCGCCTTCAGTAGAGTAAGTGCTGACTAGTCTTCCCTTTAATTCTTCACACCTTTTCTGAGCTCCTACTAGAAGGTAATAAAGAGATAAACAGAGTCCTGTTCTTTTTTTTTTTTTAAGATTTTATTTATTTATTTGAGAGAGAGAATGAGATAGAGAGCACGAGAGGGAAGAGGGTCAGAGGGAGAAGCAGACTCCCTGCTGAGCAGGGAGCCCAATGCGGGACTCGATCCCGGGACTCCAGGATCATGACCTGAGCCAAAGGCAGTGCTTAACCAACTGAGCCGCCCAGGCGCCCCAGAGTCCTCTTCTTGAGAAATTTTCCAGTCCATGGGCAGAAAACGTGGTGTCTGTGAGAACCATTTTCAAGTAGGATCTCGTCTTCCATCCATAGGCCAGCCTAGATGGCCATGAGTGCCATCTCTGTAGGAAGGATAAAAAGATCTGTAAGACACAGCATCTATCCTTCAAGAACCCATTTCCTTCTTGGGGAGACAAGCTTACCATCCACTCACTAAGGAAGTATTTATCAAGCACTTGCCATGTTCAAGAATATACACATGAGGCACTCTGTGAACACATAAGGCTATGTAAAAGAGAATGTTAACTAATTTGATGTGAACTAGATATTACTTGAATGCATAGAGGAAAGGGAGATCAGTGAAAATCAGACTGCTTGAGGTATAAAGGGTGGGTAACATGTAGATAAAGAAAAGGAATAATGAAGTCATATAATCACATAGAGAAAAGAGTACAAGCCTTGGAGTTAAACAGAGCAGCTTGGTCACTGAATATCAGTGACCTGAAACAAGCTACATAACTCTGTAAGTCATGGTTTCTTCATTAATTAAATAGGAATAATAATAATAATAAGAGCCTAGTATGGTTCTTGGGAGGAAAACAGTTGTAAAGTTCCTAGCACAGAACCTGGCACATAGTAAGTGCTCAATAAATGGAGGCTGTTATTTTCTTACTTCTCCAAGAGTTATATCTTTATTAATGTGAGTATTGGAGAAAGACTCTTAGTCTGGGATATTAGGCATCAGGGCTTGCCTATGACTCTCTACTGAGTATGAAATGGGCTCCCTGCAATGAGCCTGACATATTCTCCGGTGCTAGTATGAGAGGCAGTTCTGACCAGGGTGAGAGTGTCGCATCAGGAAGAGGAAAGGGCACAATAATAAATGTATTACCATTACTGAGTACCTACTGCATGCCAAGCAGTGTGCTCACCTTCCTTACATACATTTTTTTTAATATAATAGCTTTGTTGAGATTTAATTCACATACTGTGTAGTTCAGTCATTTAAAGTGTATAAGTGTAAAGTGTATAAGTTGGGCCTGGCTCAGTTGGTTGAGTGTCTGACTCATGACTTTGGCTCAGGTTGTGATCTCAGGGTTCTGGGATCAAGCCCTACATCGGGCTCCATGCTCAGCCAGGAGTTTGCTTGAGATTCTCTCTCTCGCTCTGCCCCGCCCCCGTCCCCCCTGCTCATACTCATGGGTGCATGCATGCGCGCGCTCTCGCTCTCTCTCTCTCT